TTGTGTCATATTTTTGGCAGTTATACAATGCAATGCATATTCTTGTTTGTGTGTAAACATCTGGGTTTTGTTAGAATTAAATTGTTAGAAGCTGAAATACTGATTGAGTGTGAGAGAATATTTTTGAAGCTTTGACACACTGTTTAAAGTTCTCTGCAAGAAAATGATTAAAAATTCACATCCCTACTATGTGTGAACAATATTTGAAGTCACCGGTTTTCTTATCCTAGATATTATTATTTAAAAAACTAATCTATTGGAGGAAAAAGTTATTTTGTTGCCTTTTGAATTAAATTTGGTTATTAATATATGTTTTCTTATATATTTATTGACTATTTGTATTTCCTCTGTTAAAACCGATCAAGACCTTTGCTTAGTTTTCTAGTGGCGTATTGCTCTTCTGATTATTTTTTTGCAAAGAGCTCCCCATATAAACCACATTAGATCTTTGTCAAGTACATGCTCATTTACTTTCTTTTTTTTTACTTTTTTTTTTTTTTAAAAAGAGTTCACTGGACTTGAGGACAGGAAGTTGCTTTAAACAAGTAAGGCATTTAGCAGTCTTTCATGGTATTTCTGTGGATAAGACAGAAAAGGAGGAAGTTCATAACTAAATAAACAACTACCTTCAAAGTGTGCTAATTTTTGGAGTAGTGGAACTCTCTTCATTTCTGTTCTTATGACATTTTAATCAGCAATTTGCTTGACTACATTGATATAATTCTACTAAAATGAATGCATGAATGATGCCAATTTGCTAATCTTGGTTAAAAGACAGGATAACAAAGAGATACTCCAAAAAATTACATAATATGATAACTCACAAAATAAAATTTAATGGAAAGAATAAAGAACTGTTACACGAAAATTGATAAACAAACAATAAACCAAAAGTCTAGCTGCAAAACAGAAGATCAAGGAGATATAATCTTAGTTCACAAGAAAAAAAAATTTCTATATTTAAAAAATATTTTAAGCCCCAAATAACCTGGCTTCTGTGACTGCAATTGGATGCAATTTTCAGGCTGAACTGTGAAGTTATGTTAAGTTCCTTCTTTCCTATAGGGCATTTGTTGTTTCTAATCTAATCTATGCTGGTTCAGTTACTTCTCAAGTGCTGTGAGTCTGCATGAGTAGATTTGACACAGCATTGCCCTCTCCCAGGTTTGCTCCATAACTGGTCTGAGGTTGTATTTCCAAAACCTGGAATCTGTATTATTCATGGGTGGGAAGGGTGGGCTCAGTGTACAATAATGATGATTGTTAGCATATGGAAAGAAAATTTCAAGCCAGATTTCATGTTTAATAAAACCAAGATAAAAATCATTTGATCAGGGACTGGAAGTAATCCAGAGTTTTAGATAGCATCTTAAAACAGCATAAAACTGCCAGAAAACACTGTAATTCTTCACTGATTGAAGACTAATTGACAAGGAAGCCTGCTATTAATGTGTAATAAAAGTGCTTTGGAAATCAAGAGTACAAACTCTGATTTCTGCCTTCTATAAGTTATCTTCCCTCCTAGTGTATGTATCTCTTGCCTTAGGGCAAATGTAATGATAAGAGAGAGAGAAATAAATAGACATGTCTTCTTTTGTAATTTTGTATTCCATTTAACTGAGCAATACAATTTTTTATAAGAAAAAAATCAATATTTAACTTGATGGATGCCTATGACACTTTGAGCTATAATGGCAATGAATAAAGAAAGAAAGAAAGAAGGAATAACATAAATGTCCATCAGTAGAGCAATAGAAAAAAAATTATAGGTATATCCATTCAGAGGAATTTTGTGCAGCCAATAAACAGAATTGTGTAGAATATGAAATGACCTGGAAGATATTTCGGATGCAATTTAAGCAAATAAAGCATGTTTCAAAAGCATGCTTAAAGAATTTCTTAAATCTATTTATTTGTACAAGTACTATTTAGGGCTATTTCTGGCTAAAGAAATTGTAGATGAAGAAATTGAGGTGCAGCAGTTTAACTGGAGAATCCCAGGGACGGGGAAGCCTGGTGGGCTGCCGTCTATGGGGTCGCACAGAGCCGGACACGACTAAAGCGACTTAGCAGCAGTAGCAGTAGCAGCAGTTTAACTGAGTTCTAAAAATTCATATGGCAAGAAAGTGTGAGACTGGGTTTCAAGCCTAAATATTAACATTTCAGGTTTCCAGTGCTGGGTATAATAGGAAGAAAATGAGTACTCTATAAAAGTAATGAATTTAAAGTCAGAAGAATTTCCTTCTAGTCCTGACTTTCTCTCACCTATAAAATGGGTAAAATAATGAGTATTATATTGCCTAACTAGCAGGTTCAGATTAAATTATATTAGATAATACAAAGTACCTAGTGCAGAGCCTGGCACATGGCAGGTACTCAATGAACATAAATTACTATCATTATCTCACTTCCCCCAGGTCCTTTTGGAGTCTACATACTTGTTTAAAAGTATTTCCCCAAGTTCATTTCTTAGACACTTTATCTCGTAGATTCCTTATATTTACCAGAGCAACTTCCACATAAAACTTCTTTAAAATGTTTATTTAAACTCTATCTTTCTTCCATTGTTTCTATTTAGTTATAATAAAACCACTCATTCATTATCTTGTGTTAAAATCATTTTATTGATCCTATAAAGGCATCCCATAAAATTTATTATGTAAGTACTTCAGATGCCTATAACAACTGCTGACTCTAAAAGGAATCATAATATTGAGGAACACTGAACCAAAAGGAAATAAAAAATAAATGAAAATAGAAAGTTAAAGAGAACTTTAAATAGAAATTAACCATCAAAAGATTTAATGGTATAGAGTATAATATTTTTAATTTTTGTATAAAAATAATTTTCAGGATAGAAATTCACCTCTCATGACTAATCAAACAAATGTAGTAATTTGTAATCTACTGAGGAAATTGGAGAGCCTTTCTAATTTTTTAGTCCATTTCTTTAGAATACTATCAAAACAAAATATTCAATAAAAATATTACTTTTCATTTTCCTGGATGGAAAAGGATTAACCCTAAATAACTTGTCTGAAGGTATCTGAAATTTATCAGTATGTTGTGTGTATATACGTGTTCTGGTATGAATGTTACTCAACTTACTGAAGAAAGCTTCAGTAATCTCAGCCTTTTGTACCATTCTCCTTAAAAAGATGGTTGCCTATCCTGGCCTAATGAAATCCTATTTACGCAGTTAAATGTAACTTCTGGAAATTCTCATATTATTCATAGACTCTACTTATTCACCCTAATACAAATAAAAGTAGCTTATCTTTCTCCTGTACATCACAATATTTTGTTTATATCATTATGTACTGTAGCAATTAAGGTCTTGTTCTTAAGATACAGCACATATCTGGAGTATAGTTGGCCCCTGGTGTATAAATTTTGATTGAAGGTGCACAGGATTACTTCCTCACTTCCTCTTATTTCCTATTGATCTTTTCTTAAGGTTTGCAATGAGTGACAATGTGGTGCTACTTTAAGAGTTGAGGAAGTTGGTCAGATGTGGGGATGGTGTTGGAGGAAAGACAGCCATTTTGCTTCCTCTTTCCATCTTCCTTAAGTTGCATTATATGTTTTTAATTATATCACAGAAATTTCCAATCCAATCTCAAGAACAATATTCTGTCAGCACTATGTTAGAAAAGAATGAATAGGAAACAATTCTTAAACAATACACAGAGCACTGTGCAACATCTATGGTGACTTTCTCCAGCAAAATCTTGAGGCATTTCTTTAGCATTGTCTTTATCTTCCCATGGTGACTTATGAGGCATGCTTAAGAAAAATTTTTATTAAAGGTCAGAGATTCCAAAAGATCCAGCCAAAATTTTGGGAAGTTAATGGTGTGATTAATTCCTGGAGTCATTCATTTTCCAGCCCTTTAATTTGTGCATCACAATGAATGTTTAAAGTATATACTGATTTTTAAAGTCTTTTACTTGGGAATTCATAAAAAGAACTGATTAACATTCCCCACCACAAGGAGCCTTGAAAGAGACTAAAAACAAAAACCGTATTTTTGCTGAATCCAATTAGCTTACATTTCAACACACATAACTCCACTTAACTGGCCATCACAGCAAAAGCCACAACACACACCCACAGCAGCAGCAGCATGGAGCTGACCACACAACTCAACAGACAATGCAGACAAACTTGAGTATAAACCAAGATTTTTCTACCTCTTTTCATAACAGGTTAGTGCTGGCCCTCAGTGTTGGTGTACAGTTTTTATGGCATGGGAAAATAGGGATGTTTCTGCCCTATAAAAATAAATGTGTTGAAGGCTTTAGTTTGAGCTTATACAATGTCAGAAAGTTCCAAAGGCACTGGCACAATACCAAAAAAAAAAAAAGAATCTCACAAACAAATATATTACTAAAACACATGGCAAGATACTAAGAAAACACTGGTAGGAAAACGACTGGTTTCCTGGATGACTTATGCAATAGTTTTCAATACTTTGCTGAAAAATAACAAATGAGAAAGGCATGCTGGTGGGTCTTTGGTGGGCATATATTGTCACCAACCCCCATTCATACTGAGTCTGGCTCTGGCTTTACACTGTTAAATAAGTCATTTTCTCCCTGCAAAGTGGGAGACACAGAACCCTTGTAGTTCTTAATCTTTTAAGCCTTAGGAAGAGCTAAGGGAAAGAGTACAGAAATGCATGCACTATTGTTAGCAAAGACAGAGATATATAGAATACAAATTAAAATATAAATAGTTATTTCTTCATTTTATGTGTCATAATACACACTACCTTCCAAGTCTTAGTTTGATACATACAGACTTTCACATATGATATCTTTATCTACTCTAGGAAGTGCTGGGACAGAAAGGTAAGTAGGAAGTTCTGAACTTGAATAAAGACAATAAGTACTTTTGCTATTACATCAAAGGATGCAAGATGGAAGATGAGGCTTGAAACTGGGAACATTTCCCAATTGGACTTCATGATTTGCAATTCTTTAAAAATGAAAACTTACCACATTCTGTGCAAAGTTTTCAAAACATATTCTGTGATCCATTGAATATCCCGACTTATATGTGTGGGGTTGAGCAGGGCAAAGAAAAATAACACAGAGAAAAAAAGAGAGAGAAGGAAGGGAGAAAGGAAGGAGGGCAAAAGCCAGAAAGAAAAATGGCAGAAAAAGACAGGGTGATGAAATGACACAACACCAAATTCATGTTCTAAATCACAGGGATCAGGAAAACAGGAGAGCTGCCACAGAAGGCCTCTTGTCACACAGCATGGGCTCTGTTTGCATTAACACTTATACTTATGACACCAACACTCTTCTTGTGCAAACAAAATGATGTGATTTCAACAAAATCGAATGACGCTGAAATAAAGTATATATGTTTAGGTTTTATGCTGATATGTTCAAAGCCTACATTATTGAAAATCTAGTGGTTTATGTTCAGAATGTCCTCATAATTTTCTACTGGTACTAAATTTCTGTTGGTATCATTAATTCCGTAGACCACTGCTGTCCAACAGAACTTTCTGAAAGCATGGAAATTTCATTCTATACTAACATTTCAGAAGTCTTTAGCTGTGGCCATTGAGTATGAGAAATTCAGTTAGAATTTTATGTAATCTTCACTAATTTAAATTTAAACCATTGAATGTGCTGGTGGTTGCTGTCCTGGTCAGTGCAACTGTCTGGTTGCCAAGTCAACGGACTTTGAAAAGTATCATTAGCTTAACTGATGATCATGAATTATACAAAATTATCATTTCATCTCAGAATTTCAAGAAGCTATGGACTATTTTAACATTACAAAATAATGAATGATGTTGATGTTTATATCCAGATTTTCCATTTTCTGTTAAACTGATTAATAAGGTGTTACTGACAGTGAGACTTTGATTATAAACATTAATTGAACAATGTAGCCTACTGCAGTTCTTCAAAAATATGCTAGTAGCTCTTAGGTATGAAGCCTCATCGCAGGGATACTAATGAGACTCAGGATAAACGCCAAATGAAAATATTTGGAAGCAAACATTTAGTTTGCTGATAGTTGCTACATTTTGGCAACCATCATAGGAAAAAAATGAGCTATGGGGCATATACATACATTCCAGTTTACAGGATGAGGAAAATCCTCCCTGAGCTTTTGATCTGATGGCACTGTTCTTTTCTTTATTGTAATTTCTTATTTCCTTAAACTGGCATACAGAAGACTAACATGAAACATGAGAACGGCATCTTAAAAACTTTGTAAAGCATGGACATCTGCTGAGACAAACACGCAATAAAGAAAATAAGCAATCAACAGGCAGAAACGCATACAACTTAAATGACCCTGATAAATTGCAGGGGTTTGGGGAAGGGTCTTGGCTTATATCCACTTACCATTTGTCCAATAATGTGGTCCCAGCAGAGATAACTACTCCAAATAACTATAACTGAGAACTAGGTCATAAAAGTTCACAAAGAACCAATACCTTTTTCTTTGCCTGTAGAAGTTCCTGATAGGCACTGGATCTTATAAAACGTGGGTATGAATCACTTTTCATCAGTTTGTAAATGTGCTCCTAAAAAGAAATAATGGTTGAAGTGCCTCTTTATTATTTCTCAGGAAAAATCAAATACTGTGATAAGAACGCAACATCTGATTCAAAAACAAATCTAGAATAATGATAATGCTGATAAGAATACTTTATATGCTTATAGAACAATTTAGACCTTCAAATTTATTATTTTATTCAATGATCCATATTTAAACTGATTTGGGAGCTATGGAGGAGGTAAATCACATCCAGCCCTTAAAAAAATGGGATTTAGTTAGTAGACTGTCATCACATAATTTCAAATCAAGTTCTTGATTTATATAGACCATTAAGATAAATAAAACGGCTATCTCTTAAGATTAAGCCAAAAGAGAATGATGCAAAGTCAGGATTCAATAATCATTCTAGATACCTTGGCATTTATATGTACTTGGAGGGTTCAGACTTTCCAGATGAATCATCTCATTGGTGAAAATTGTCATGCACATCTAGTTTAGGCCACAGCATAAGTCCAGAAATAAATTTTGTGATATTTAATTGCTTAATGTCCTAATTTGTATGCATGTTTTGACTTATTCTGAAATAGATTAGGCAAATATTTGATAATTTAATCCTAATCAGTTTGCAATGTTTTGTTTCAATGATGAATATTGATAGACAAAGGAAAAAAATATATTCATCTAATTCAATGTTGGCCCAATCCAAGGAGATTCTGCTTTGGTTTATTGCAGCCTAAGGGAGCATAAATGCTCCTTGCTCATTCTAGTCTGTTAGAGGCAGAGTTCTGAACTATTTGAGAGTATCCTGAATGTCCCAGTGTCTACTTGTTTGGAGAAAACATGTATTTTAAGAGATGACTTAGCTTCCTAGTCTTAAATACACCAGGAATAATTTGTAGGTATTGTGAATCCACTTAATGACATTCAGGATTAATCCTCAGTAATCCTGACATTCAGGCTCTAGCCCAAGTTTCATCTCCAGAAGTATGGTACATTTGGAACTGTATCCGAATTTGTTGTTGGAAAAGGGGGACGATGTTTTATTTTGGACTCAAGCATTTTAGGATTCAGATCCTATCTTGCTCAAGATTTACCACTTACAAACATGTTAATTTTGACAATTTTATTCACTTCTCTGAGCTTCAATCTTCTAGTCTGTAAACTAGAGTTATTGTCAGGATTTGAGGAATGATCAGCGTTTAGCAAAGTATGGGGGTGTGCATAGTAAGTGCTCAAATATGTTTGAGTATGTGCCAGGTACACTTCAAAGTGCTTGCCTATATTAGTTAAATTCTCACAAAACCTCAACAAGGTTGGCAACCATTTTCATATATATTTTAAATATGAAGTAAACTAAAGCACAAAGAAGCACTTGCAATAGGTCACAGAGCAGAGCTCAGAATAGAACCCAGACAATTTGCATTCAGAATCTGCTTTCTTATTACACTGTATCTCTTCTTAAACAGTGGCAAGAATTTCTACTATATTTTTGAATATAGGGTTTATAAACCCACAAAAAACTGGGATTAAATAGCTGAGGTTGATTGAAAAAAGCCTATGGTCAGGTGGTAATATTTTCTATAGAAAATTATGCCTTTTCCTTTTATTGAAGACACATTAAGCAAAAATATTGTTCAATGACACAGATAACAAAGAAATGTTCTTTTTAAGACTTTTGGGAAGGTCATTCCAAATATTTTACACATTGTTGACTCTACAAAAGTGCTTGAAAGTTTATCTTGAATTGAAAGAAAGATAAAACAGCAGAGAAATAAGCAACAGAATTTTCCTCCTGCTCTCTTTCATATGTCTCCATAAAATGTCATTATTTCCACATAGAAGACCATGGCAGAGCCAGAGTGAATGAATGGGTTTCTGGTTGGCTGTTTCAACCTGTGTTAGTTTCCTGCACAGTGGCTCATTTCTTTTTAAACCAAAGCCAGTGTTAAATATATTTTATACCGAGAGTAAAAATAAGAAAGGAATTTTCTGTACCTCATGCTTCATCTTCTATATTTTCTCTTAGTAACATAGCTATTTAAAAAACAAGATACTTTTTAGAGCTAACATTCTTCTCTAAAAGAGGTTTTAAGAAATTATGAAACATGTTTGTTCAGGTTTAAAAGTCAATTTCAATAAATCATTAAGAAATGATAACCTCTCATTACACATTTATTTTTCCTCTTGAGCACAATATACTTTTTTTAGAGAAAGTAGAAATTAAAATTACTTCTAAGGAGACAAATACATCCAGTTTGAGAAAAAAAAAACCACTTAAATAAAAGTATGTCTTAGGAAGTTAATATCTTAATATCAATTCCATTTTTTCTTTTTTTTGTAGGCTAAAAAAAGTAACTTGGAAAATTAAAAAATACCTAAAGTTACTGTTTAAGTTTGTCATCAGAGACAAAACTGGTTTTTACTGTTTCATTGTGTCATCAGAGACAAAACTGGTTTGAGTTTTACATAACTTCAAGCTAATTTAATTTAGTTCTGACTATTCATAATAATATATTACTTAGGAAGGTCAGAATCTCAGACTTTCCATATTAGAAGACAAGTTAAAGAGTTCAAGTATGTGTTACTGAGGTATCAGAGTTGAAACTAAAGTAAAAAGCTTTCAAATATTTAAAATATTTCCCTTCAAGAAATTTTCATGTAAAAACATTCAGATTTACAAAAATCCCCAGGCTTTAAAAACTCTTCTTTTTAAAGTATCTCTGTTATCTTCTAGATCGTTTAGTTTTTTTACATACAGCTTCCTTGGTGGCTCAGACGGTAAAGAATCTACCTACAATGTAGGAGACCTGGGTTTGATCTCTGGGTTGGGAAGATCCCCTGGGAAGAGGGCATGGCAACCCACTTCAGTATTCTTGCCTGGAGAATCCCCATGGACAGAGGAGCCTGGTGGCTACAGTCTATCGGGTCACAAAGAGTCGGACAGACTGAGTGACTTAGCGCGTGGGCGCACACACACACACCCCTAAATTGAAAATATCAGACATAGCCACAGATTATAATGAAAATAAAACAAAAGTATCTCAACTCTCAACTTCTCAGGAGCACATCTGTGATGCAATGTGAGTTCCACCCATGTACCAACCTGAGCATCTTCGAAAGTGTATCGTCCGGGCTCCTTCACATTCTGTGTGGTTTTGTCATAGCTCTTAGAATCCAAGTTAATAGCACTGGGGGCTCCTGGAGCCAGAAATTCTTGCCATATTTCCTGAACTCGAGAGGGAACTTCTCTAATAGGCCTTTTCTTCAGGTCCTCCACTGCTAGCCAGAATCTACACAAAATGAGACATAATCTGATGTCTGATGTCTCATAATCTGAAAATTCTTAAAATATTGACTTGTCATATAGCTCACAATGAGGCATAATGATAAGCTAATGTTCCCTGAGGGTGTCCAGAAACAGGTTTCTACTGACTTTTTTCTATTAGTTGTATTCAAAGATACAAGATGTGGGGAAAGGAAATACTGAAAACAATCTCTTTTAGGTGTTTGCTGAAAATCAGGGGCTTCCCAGGTGGCTCAGAGGAGGAGCCGAGCAGACTGCAGGCCACGGGGTCAAGAAGAGTCGGACACGGCCGAGCCACTAACCAGGCACACACGGGAACGCAGGCCCGCCAGGGCCCCGACTCCACACAGCCTCAGATATCCACTGAGACAGTGTATGTGGCAGGGCTAGAGAACCTTTGGTCAGACAGGAAGAGGAGTCTGAAGGGAATTAGGGGGAGCGACACGGATCATCTGACTGGGGGCATAAGATATACCGGAGGCTCTATTTTTCTGGACCTTTTGTCCATTTGAGCAATGGGGGTTAGTGTGGAGAGGATTTTCTGCTTTACCTGGTAAGGGAATTACCATGAGGCTTTATTGGAATGAAAAGAGGCCTGGACGCAGATTAGAAAATGCCCTAGCTGGAGAAATCAGGGCAAGTAACTAATTTTAGGCTATTTAATTCCGAGACTTATGAAATGACAGAAGCAGCGAGCTTTCACATGTAATTGTTCAAAAGGCTTAAATCTGCAGAGGCATCATAGCAACTCAGAAGCTCTGGAAAAAATAATATTGACCTACTTCTAAATATAAAATATATATTTTATGTCCTTCTGTATAGAATACAGTCTATTCTGACAGGAAAGAATACCAGGACATATTCTGATTGATAAAAGCAAATAGCAAAGTCTAATAAAAAGCCACATCATATTAATGGGTTCCATTTTTTTAAAATTTTGCCCTATATTATATCTTTTTGTTTAGACCTAGAAATAATGATGAAACATGAATATGTATGTCATAATAGTGTCTTTAAACAAACAACAAAAAAAAGGACACTTGAAAAAGGAAGTACTAAATCTGTTATCCTCAACAGGGGCCAGATGTGACCTTGATATGGAGAAGATGACCACGGAGATGAATCACTACAAGCTACAGGGGATTCTCTGGTGGCTCAGACTGTAAAGAGTCTGCTTGCAATGCAGCAGACCTGGGTTTGACATGATTGAGCAACTAACACACAGCACAAGCTATAGAGTTTTTAACAGAAGTAGAAGGGGATAAGCAGGACCTTCATAACTATTAAGTTTTAAACTTAGGGATTAAGGAAAGTTCCAAAAATAAGTAATAAAGCAGTTGAGCTAGAATTAGAATATCAAATATTACTCAATCTAATAATTTTCTACTTTCTAAGTACCATTTTCTTATAGACAGGTATCAGTAGATAATCCAATTTGGACTATGCCTTAAATGTGAACCCACCGTTTTTGCTTTCAGAAGGCAAGGGTAAAGACCATTTCCTTTTTAAATACAGGTTCTGACAATGTGCAATCTAACAGGAACGCTATGTGCAATTTGAGGGACCCTAAGTGTTATAACTGATGCATATTAAAAAGCAGAGTCATCACTTTGCTGACAAAGGTCTAAATAGGCAAAGCTATGGTTTTTCCAGTAGTTATGTATGGATGTGAGACTTAGACCACAAAGAAGGCTGAGAGATGAAAAATTGCTGCTTCTGAACTGTGGTGCTGGAGAAAACTCTTCAGAGTCCCTCCTTTGGACTGCAAGGAGGTCAAACCAGTCAATCCTAAAGGAAATCAACCCTGAATATTCATTGGAAGGACTGATGCTAAAGCTGAGACTCCAATACTCTGGCCACCTGATGCGAAGAGCCAACTCATTGGAAAAGACTCTGATGCTGGGAAAGACTGAGGGCAGGAGGAGAAGGGGGCAACAGAGGATGAGATGTTGAATGGCATCACCGAATCTATGGACATCAGCTTGAGTGGACTCTGGGAGATAGTGAAGGACAGGGAAGTCTGTGGTGTCTCAAAGAGTCAGACATGACTTAAGAGACTGAACGACAACAAGAAGTTCATTTCAGCACTCTTTGAACATATAGATAAAAAGAATGTCTCTGTTTTTGAACTAGCAAAGATACACCATTCAAATGGCCGTAATACAAGGAAGCACACGAGAGATTCTCAAGCAATAGGCACAAACCAAACAGTCTGGGAATGCTGAGCAGGAAGGAGCCCCTCTGCTGGGGCAGCTGCTGTGTTGGAAAAGGGAGTGCTAGGGAGGCTACACTGATGCAGTGACATCTTAAATAGACTTGAAATTATAGATGAGATATCAAAGGGCTGAGGAGGTAATAATAACAGCACCTACACTGTAAGTGCAGGCACTATTCTAGGTGATACTCTAGAATAGAGTATGTGCTAATATTTAGAGTATGTGCTAATATTTCCCCCACTTAGAGAAAACTGAATATATGAAGACTAAGTCACTTATTTAAGTTGCCCACTGTGAGTGCCATATATAGGGTTTGCTTCCAGATCTACAGCAGATGACATTCTCAAAAGCACTCTCTTGAATGCCTCACAAAATGCATCATTGTTTTTCTTATCCTCAGCATAGTCATCATTGCAATAATTTAGTAGAATGTAAAGGGAACTCACTAAAACCTCACTCCCCCCTTAATACATGCAAGCTGGAATATGAGGAATTATCTTAATGTCATTGAGCCTTGATTTTTTTCATCAGTAAAATGGGAATAATAATGCCTATCTCACTGGGTTTCCATTAGATAAAGTGAGATAAATTATGTAAAGGGAACTTTTGAAATGCTTGAGATATTTTTAGGCACTCATATTATATAACTCTCATATTACTGAATTTACTTGGTACTTACTCTGTTTACCTGAAAGAGGAATGAGCAAAAGCACACCAAGTAAGAATAGAAGTTCTATTTCAGAAATAACTACTTATCAATGAGCAGTATTTCTTGACTATTTTTTGTCTCAATACCTGAAGAAAATGCTCACATGAGTGCCATACTTCCATAAATAGCAGATGCTAAATAAGATGCACTGAGATGTATTTAGGTGTAATTAGCCCTGCCAGTTAAATGGACTGTTTTGTCTCCCTTGGTCTGTGACACCAGATACCTAGGCAGAAACAGGAAGAGCAGTGGACAGAAGCTTAGTATTGGTTTATAGAAAGCCTAGGATGGCAATTATTAGCAATCTGACTTGTAAAGATGCTTAACTTCTTCTATTCATATTTTGCTTGCCTGTCAAATGGGGCAAGGATATTAATATTTAAATTTCATGTTTGAAGCGATGATTAGTTGAATGATAATCAGAAACAATAAATACAAAATATGGCAGGGCATACTTATAAAAGTAGCGAATATAAAGCATACAGTGTATGGCATACACTGGCCTTCCCAGGTGGCTCTGTGGGTAACAAATCTGCCTGCAATGCAGGAGACACAGGAGATGCGGCTTTAATCCCTGGGTTGGGAAGATGCCCTGGAGGAGGGCACGGCAACCCACTCCAGTATTCTTGCCTGGAGAATCCCATGGATAGAGGAGCTTGGCCATCTACAGTCCCTAGGGCGGCAAAGAGTGGACCCAACTGAAGTGACTAAGCACACAAGGACACATGGCATATACTAGGTGTTTAAGACTTGATATCTATATCTATCTATCTGTTCTTAGAAGGGAAACATACAACAGACTCATAGTATATACTCAAGAAATATATATGTGACTACATAAGAAATATGTAATGTTTCTTTTTTATATAACTTTGTTTTTATTTCAACATAACATGCAATAAAATATTAACAGATTATAATGCTTAAAAAGAAAAAAGGACTCTAAAAGCAATTTAGTTCAGATTTAAGAAGTCATTCTAATTAAACACAATAAATCTATTTCCAAGTGATCAGTTTAGACCAGAATTAAAAATAGGCATTTGTTAGATACTTATGTCTACTGTCTATTTACAACATTTTTATATAACCTCTGATTTTTGGTATATCCAGCCCCTATCTTCCTAACACAGCAGGGGATGACATACACATGGGCCTTTTAAATTAAAGGAAGAAATGGAAAAGGGAGATTCCAGGCTGCAAATATATATATAAGCATTTACCTTTCCAGAACTAAACATTTCTTCCATAAAAATATGAAATACCCAAGCTCTATAGAACTAGGGCTGGGACTACTTCAAATGCAATTATTCTGTATTTTTTAAAATATAGGGCAGAAAGCCTTTGGGGTGATATTTATACATTTTCATACAATGAAATGTGTAATATTTCTTATATGCAATTACTTATCAGGTAATTTGGTGTGTCATAGGATTATTGAGATAAAAATGGTTAAAGCATGGAAAAAAATCAGCAGTGATCAATTTCATTCATGAAAGAGAGTATGCACATGCTAATCTTTTAGTTCCAAAGCCTCTTTTCTTTTCCTTTTTTGCCTAGTTATCTCCTTATCATCCAAGTCTCAGCTGGAAGCTATTTCCCTGAGGAGGCTTGAGTGATCTCTCCCTCTGGGTTTGCCATTCTCCTGTATTTCTCAGATCTAACACTCATCCTTTTGTGTTGTGATCTGTTTCATCTTTGTATTCATGAGTAAGCTGTACTTCTAATAAAATCAGGAAGGATTTTTATTTGATTAGGTGATAATGGGGAGGTACTACTTATTTATTTACCGTGAAACCCATGATGATAGCATTTTTTTTTCAAAAACATAGAGAATTAGAGGAAACTCCATAAAAGCCTAAAACTAGATTTATCTCTGCTTTATTTTCTAAAGCAGACAGAAAATATTATTTAGGCCCAAAAAAATCCTTAGCACCTGCAGACCACTTGAAACCCTGGTCAACAGGCTTTCAAGTTTCAATAAACTTGAAAAAGAATAGGAAGCTGTGCCCCTGAAACCTATGACAGGCATAATTAAATTTCTCCAGATTCTGCCTGTGGTCAACTTGCTTAATCCATCGGATATCAGTCAAAAGTCTATGTTCTTCTAAATGGTTTGGTTTGGCTATCTATTAAATCTCCTGAAAAGAATGTGATGATTCTGGAATTGCTAAGTTGCAGTGAAAATAAAGGAATGCTGGCAACTTTCTGTAAATGGATTTCACAGGACTGAATAAGTCATGGGAAAGTAAATTAGAGAGTTCCATTTCAAAAGAATACTGAATGAAAGAGCTTGTGGAAACACCATTTTACGTAGTGGAAAGTTATCGCTCACTTCAGTGATCTTAGAGCTGTTAAAACCTATTCCAGTGTCTCACATTTAAAAATTCAATTTCCAGGTGCCTCTTAAGTCAGAAAAATTTCAAAAATATGTAAGGATGATGTTTACAACAGATGAGCAGGATACACAACTCTCTAGCAGGCACTAACAGCTCAATATGGTACTGCTCTCAACTGCCCTGAGGCTGTGTTTAAGTGTACAAAGTAAATGCACTGCCTCCATCGTTCTGTTTCAAGTTATTTTATACAGGCACTCAATTTCTTTTTCTAGATCTTATTTGAGATGCAATACACAAAGAAGACCAATATGATAAATAGGTGATATTTTAATTAAACTACATATGTATTATTGATGATTCTTTGTTTTGCCAAATACTAGCCTGATACTTCTGTATGCAGTCCATTTCAAATGCATCAGATTTACATGGTTAAAAGATCAGGAGACAGTGTAAAATAAACCATTATGAAGAAGTGATAATGTTGGACAAAGTGCTTTGCCTTCATTACCTTTTCTTCCTCTATCAAGAGGCAGAAATTCAATAGGTCCATAGCTTCATCATGATGTTGGTGGGATAGTAACTGGTCTGTAGAGTGCAAAATCACCAGACTCATCACGAGTAGGTCACTCTTGCTTAGAATATTAGATTCAAACAACATGTCTTACCTTAAGTTTTCTGAGCTGAATTCTGACTCTAGAAATTTAAGGAATTGTTCTCTCCCGACTGGGTCTTTCAATGCTTCATCCATGCCAAAACCCCATCGTTTTACCCTCTGCTGACTTGGTTCTTTGCTATAGAAAATAAAACAAAGCCAAATATATTCCTTTCATTACAAATTCTATATTCTGCTATAACATTTCCCCTCAAAATCATATATTCTCTGAAGCTCCCATCTTTAACATATTTTTCAGAAAAAAAAATCTCTGATTGATGACTCTGCATGAAATTATAGTGAGATGAAAGTTAGGCATTAATAATAAAGTCTAACATTTATCAAGCATTAAATGCCAAGGGATGGATTCTCTTTTAGACTTCTTCAGCAACTTTGAGATGGGTACTATCATAATTCTTATTTTATAGATGAGGAAGTCAAGGATAGAGGGTTATAACCTTCCAATGTCAAATAGGTAATATTCCAGACATTCTGACCCCAGGGCTCAATTTCTTAACCACTACACTATGAAGTCTCACAGTGACACATTGTACTGGAGGAAAATGCATTGAGAATCAAAAGGCTTACATCCTGGTTTATGACTCTGTTGTTGATTAAATGTGTGACATAGTCCTGGCTGAGTCACAACATTTTGGGATTCCAACTTTCACATCTATAAAACTGAGAACTAAGGGATGAAGAGATACATACTTGTCAAGCATTTGAGAACCACCGGATGGACATAAAAGCGAGAGAAGGTCCATAAATGCAATCTAACTAAGTGCTACAGAACACTAAATCCTCACTCTGTGAAGGGGTACGCAGTGATTTTTTTTATGACTCTGTCAAGATTGGTGATATAATTCTTCTCTTACATAGCTGATGAAAGAAACCAGGGAGCCTTAAATTGTGTTTTGGTTTTCTTAAGAAGTCAGATACTTGTCAGTTTCTCTTAGAGGGTTTATAGTAAATTCATTTTGTTCCAAAACAGAATTTATAAAAGCATACTTGTATTGGGCTTAAGTAAGTATGGATTTAGCACTCATTTTACTTGAATAGATGGACCTTTGTGGCTATGTGGATTTTCAAGGAAGCTAAAAACAATGAGCTAAATTTTAAGAACTAAAGATCCTAACAAGTCGACCTTGAAACCCTTGCACATCTGATTTTTTTGTGCCAGTCTTTCTGGAAATGCAAATCTAATATAATACAAATATCTAAGTTTCAAAAACCATTGCCTTGAACGAGAGCTTTATATCATGGTTAACATAAACACAGAGTAAAATTACTTTTACAATTAGTCAGCTATAGGATTCTTCTTATATCATTCAAATCCTGAAATAAGTGAAATATTTGGAAGGAAGAGAAAATGTCACTTACCTTGCTTCAAGTTCCCAGAAGGTAGTATCATCAGACAGCCATGGGTTAGAAGGGTCAGGTGGCACAAGAAACGGGTCATATTCTACATACTGTTCTGTGTAACTTAGCAGACTTGAGAAAAAGAAACATTTTCATTTTCTTTAGTTTTCTGGTTGAGGTAAACTGATCTTTGTAAGGGACACATTATAAAAACATCTGGCCAAGGAATCCTTGCTTGCTTATAGAATAAAATCTGATAGCAGTTTTCATGTTTCAATAATTTTCATGCAAGAGCTTGTGCTTCTTTGAAGACAAATATGGTTAAGGATTCCATCTTTCCCAATGCCTTAGCAACATGAATTAATATTCCCTCATTAAAATGAGACAAAATGGAAAAGGTCAGTGTATAGAAGGATGTGCCAAGGAGCAATTCCAACCCTTGGTCAACTAGCCTACCCACAGCAGAACAGATGTTAGCTCAACTTGGAGAAGGGGTTAAAAAGCAATTTTTGTCAAAAGTATTTACAGGAATTAGGTAAAGGGGGAATCACTTACAACACATTTTTGGGGGAAAAAATCTGTTTTTAAAACAAAATAAAGGGAGAAAGGAGCAGAAAAACATTGGAGAGGTAAGATTTGGCAATGCCTCAAAGTATGGAATATGAATGTCTTCACAGATTTAAATGAAGGAAATACGTAAAAATCTAAGCTTAATTCAAATTCTGAAGTCATAAAATAACTGAGTAGTGTAAATGTTAAGAAGAATTAACGGAAAGTTTCTAAGTTGCCAACAAGTAACTTAATGAATTCAGTTTTATTTCTCCTAGCAGGAGTGAAAAGATTCAATTCCTTAGAATTATCTCTGTATTTGATTGTGGTTGTACAAAGACTGGGCCTCTAGAGACCTAAGATAATAATGATCATTCTGTCATTTGAAGTGTAACAAAAGAGATCTTTGAAAGTTTTCTATGTTCAGAAGGGAAAAGAAAATAATATTTCTTACAGGATTCCAATTATATCAATTCTCCTCCCACCAGTTCTCTCACCATATTGAACACATTTAATTGTCATCTGAACTTTTTTTTATTTGTATGGTCATCTTGCAATACTTACCTATCAGCAACTTTTGACATTTTTAACCGATGTCTATCTAACTGTATTTGCCAATACTTTATCTGGAAAAAAGAGATAAGTAGTTACATAAGTAGTGACATTCTCCAATTTTCAACTCTAAATGCTAATAGATTGAGTAATTCTAAACAAGAATATGTTCTCAGACAGTAAAATTTCACTCTATAGAAAAAAATCAAACATGAGGGCTCTGAAAGAGTTAATAAAAATTAAACTGACTGTAAACATATAACCAGTATTGATTTAGAATAGCAGTGAAGTTGAACATTCTGCCCACATTAGCAAAATAACTTTATTTTAAGAGAATTATAGAAATTTTAAGCATTTATTCATGGTGATTATCCAAATAAGAATCACATTTCTCCATCAAACAGTGAATTCAGATAATAAATGTATTTGCTATTTGTTACTATAATTTCAAGATAAACCCTACTTCCTAATACTAGCCCAACAAAAGCATCAGTGATATTTGTTTTAAGACATTTCAGAGCAAATTGTCACATGGACATAACAACATGTGGAAATTTAAAACTCTCTGAGTTACTTTTCCTTCAAGGTGATTATAAATATACTAGAAAAAGTATGTATTACATAGTTGGTAGGAAGAAATAAGCAAAAGGAGAAAAAGTCTCATGATAACTAACCAAGAGACTTGATGATGATTTGATGTAAGAGACACTTGGTATTCACTTTGAAATATTGCAGCCAAAGCTATTTATTGATCAACAGATGCAACAAGAAGCAATATATACCATTGCTATACCAAGAAGCAATATATCTGCTCATCAGTGCTGAGAAAAAACTTCAAGAGGCTTCTAGAGATCAGTACTGCAGAAACAAGGTTGAGCACTCTTTTGTGAAGGTCACATCACATGATTGGAGGTGGAAAACACATGACCTAAATGTCACCAACCTATTGTCTTCTCATTTTTTAAGACAGAATTATGGAATATAAACTAACTCAATAATGGAGTCATCCATGAGTCAGTGTGTGTGATTTTTAAAAATTAGTTAGAGGAAAAAGGATTTGGAGAAATCACAAGGGAAGAGTTTTGAAAACTATCTCCTTATATTAATAAATCTTCAAAAGAATACATATCTTAAAATTACATTTTAAATACAATCCTGCAAATCAGTTTTTAACATATCTCCTATTAACATCAACATCTGGTCTTCATACTGGCTACCCTGTAAACCATCTACTCTGTAAACCATTATTATAGGTTGACCCACCTGTTGTTGTAACTCATCTTCTGTTGGGGGTTTAGTTTCTGGTGTGGGTGTGTGGGTAGGACTGTGACTTCTAATATCATTTTGTAGACCATAGACAGACTATATTAAAATTAAAAAGAAATATGTTAAGACAAAGTTACATTTATATTCACAGACTTTCTAAAAGGTAATTTTGTGTTATATATTCATTAAGGTAACTCAAAACTTTGCTGCATATTGGATTAAGCTTATCAAAATTCAAAAGGCACTATCATAAATGTCATATGAATTTAAAATGAAAGCACAGAGTTTTTGGAAAAAATATGTGGTTGTATTATTAACTGACAGAATAATTGACTACATGAATAAAACTAGGTAACTGTGATAAAATATGGGGTGAGCTGAGAATACTAATTTGGGAAATGACAGCACAACATAGCATCTAATAAGTATTAATTTCAGAATAAAATAGAGGTGGATATATAATAGAATTAAAATGTAATAAGGCAAAAAAAGGGTAAAAATAATCTGGTTGTTTTACATAGGAAAGGAATGGAGTACTATGGAGAGAAACTAGGTTAAGAATTCCATTTCTGATTTTGTCTTTGATGATACCATCAAAGACACACCAGAATGCTCCTACTTTCCCAGCTCAAAATTGGGTTATTTACCTCACAATACTGACCTTGTCATGTGGTTTCAGTAGGTGCCATTTACAAACGCCAGTGACCCTTAGGTTTTGTACATCTTTGAAATTCTTAATATCGCAGTGCTTCTTTACTCTTTTGTCAAAAGGTGAACCCTATCATTTAGGAATGCTCTTTTTTGAGGAAGACCCGTTGCTTAGTAAATATAAACGTAAATCTGGGGCCTTCAAGTACAAAAATTCATCCCTAACTGAAGGTGAGACATCTTACATGTCAACTCAAGGAAGAGGCCAAATTACTTTTTCTCTAATATTAAAGCACTGTTACTTTAAAATAAAGAATTTAACATTAGATACTAAGCACTTTTTCTTTGGACATGAGGATGAAGGAGGACATGATAAAAGTTTCACGAGCCCTACAAAATTAATGTTGCCAAGCAGTGGAAAGAAGCTATTGAAATCAGAAGAGGGTAGATGCTTAACCAAGCCAATTTTCAGGCCCATCACCAACCTTACCAGTAACTCTTAACTTTAAATTAATCTTGTTAATGGACCTGTTTTCACTTGGATTCTACCTCTCCTTAATGTTAAGCTTTTGGCTCTGTACCTGGACCCTTTTCCCTTATGAGTTCCCACTATTTTGCTCTTAGCCCATCTTTGACATATTTGACTTGGTTTTCTGACTATCTTTGGTAGGCACTTCAATTTTCCCTCTTTTGACATAGCTCCAACCTCTTTGAAACTCAATTCTTGTTACTGGGCATACATTTCAACCCAAGGAGGAGCATACATGATGTCAGTTAATTGTTAATTGGACTGAACTAAATGGCTTGGACTGTCTTTTTCTTTCCTTCCATCATTCAACATTTATCAAACACCTATTATATGCTGGATATAATTGTTAAGCATTAGGGATATAGATGTAAAAAAATATAGTATGCTTCCTCCTTCCTTGGAACTTATGACCTAATGGTTACACAAAGAATCACATAAATAAACATATGATTAGAACTGTGATAAGTATTATGAAAGAAAAGAATGACAAGAGTACAGTAACTGGAATATAAGGAGACTTAATTTTCACTGAAGAAACAAAAGGTCTGCAAGAACTACTACTAGTTGTGTTTGAGGGTGATTAAATAACATAACCCTCTGAACTCCGAAGTAACAGTTGAGGTAGGTATTTTAAAATTAGTGAAGTGAATGACCATCAATTATGAAACAATTATACTTTCCAATGTCTGTTATTTTTTCAGTTGTATCATACTAATTTTTGATAAAGAAAATAAAAAAGACATCTAAGGTTGAAACTTTCCATTCTTACTTAACCTTGGTTTTAATTACTTAAAGTTCTTTAATAAGAATCTCTAGTTTATGTAAAAAATGTTTTAAAGACAAGACAGCTGACAGTTCTAACAGTGAGTTTGTTGGTTAAGATTTAAACTAACTTAAAAGAGTGCTAGAAAAATACCACAATTTATGGTGTCACAGAAGTTACCTTCTATCTCTACATTTCCATGATTATTTTAATATACATGCATTTCACATGATCATCATGAAGTTCCATAAAACACCCAAATCATCGGGCGGTGTCGTTTCAAATAGTCTTCCAGCAGCCTGGCCACTGGTTCTGAGGTTACTGGGACGTTTCCTTTTTTGTCTTACATGTAAGTAAACATCATGAATTCTCTCTTTCCTCATTCAGAATGCCCTTCATTTTCTGGGGATCAGTAATAGCTTTTAACTTTGATTCTTGGCTAGAGTGAAAATAGCCACAAATAATGCAATTTTATACTCAGGGCTTCCTTTATGCATAAAGGAGGTAAGAAAATTGATCCTATTTTGGCCAATAAGTTATGAGGATCATTTGCAATGTAAAAGGATTTGCACCTTTTAGAAAACTGAAATGTATTAGAAATCTTGGCATAGAGTGGACAGGGCTAGAGAGAAAGAGAAATGAAATTGTCTCAGTGTCTTAATATTTGCAGATGGGGAAAATTAAATTAACTAATTTGAACCCAGTTTGAGTTTTAATAGCAAAGATAATTACTAAACCAAGATGCTTTGACTTCTAACACCTTTTTTTTTTTGTTCCTCAGGGTGCCTGGATTAACACTTTACATATGCAGTACCACCCTAATGAATACTGAATAGGTTATTCATTAAATGAAACAGATTTGACTTTCTACATAAATCTGTTCATATGTGATCTCCTTTTACATCTCAGAAGAGATAAAGAAAATTCTTTCCTTTATTTTTGGTCAAAGGGAAGGGACTTTAAGAACTAAAGAGTGAAGGAAGTTTGTATGCTTTTTTATGTGGAGTGCAATATCTGGGATTTTTCTAACTGGTGATGGGTGGAGGAGCGGGGATGCTCAGCTCGACTGGAGAATGATTAGGACCATGTCCGATGCCATGTGGAAGAAGCCAGTGAAGAGATAGAGCAGTGAAAGGAGGCTAGAGAGGATTGAGAGAGAAAGTTTGCCCGCGTCCAAGTCTCTGCATCCAGGAATATCCAGGCTAACTCCCTATCCCTAAGGTTTTAGAATATTCCCCTCTTTCATCTATTTTGAACAGAGTTTCTCTTGCCTGCAAATGTATTGTACTTCTTACTTAAAACACTTTTGTGCTGCGCTAAGATATGAATAGTTTATTCTATTATGTAACACATTAAAATTTAAATTTCCACATTTGGCATATGTAAGTAAAGAAATACCAATCTTTTAAAGTATAAACAGCTTTAACCACTGCATTAATAACAGGAAAACTAGGCATTAATCATGAATTTGCTAACTCTTCTTCCAGGATGTGCACTTTAGCTGTTAACTAAAATATTACATGGCATTATGTCCAAATGCAGGTAACAGAGAAAAGAAAGATAACGAGACAGTAAATAACTTGCTGTTGTTTTGAAATGTTAGTTCTAGAGTTACAGGAAAGGATCTGAGTGTGGTTGCAGTCAGGTAAGCACAAATGCTTTTGTCATTTTTCCTTATGTTTTGTGTTGTTCTAGGACCTCTTTTAGCAGCTGTCATATAGAAGGGTGACCTTATGTGTCAACTTGACAGGACCATGGTGCTCAGATATTGCATAAGACATTATTTTGGGTGCTTCTATAAGCATGATTTTTGGGTGAGATTAAAACTTAAGTAAGTGGATCTTGAATAAAGCAGAATATCTTCAATAATGCAGTTGCATCCAATCAGTTGAAGACCTAAATAGAACAAAAAGACCTCCACCAACCAAGCAAGAGGAAATCCTGCCAACAGATGGCAATTCTTCCCTGGACCCTTAGCTTGCTGGCCTACCTCATCAGATTTTGGACTTGCCAAGCCTTTTACAATCATGTGAGTTGGTACCTTAAAATAAATCTCTCTCTCTCTCTTTCTCTCTGCATACATATATATATATATATATATATGTATCTCCTTATTTTTGGTTCTGTTTCTCTGGAGAAATTTGGCTATAGTACAAACATAGCCTGACTTATTAAATTTTTAGAATCAGATGAAGAAAATCAGGTACATAGTGCCCCTTAAAATTTGCCTAGATTATTTCCACTTGTGCTCAGCTGTTAAGTCGTGTCTGACTCTTTGCGACCCCACAGATCTGCCTACCAGGCTCCTCTGTCCATGGGACTTTCCAGGTAAGAATACTAGAATGGATTGCCATTTCTTTCTCCAGGTATTTTTGCTTATGCTATATCATTCCTTCACAGAAAATTGAGGATATACATTTTACTTATTTCTTTGTATTTTAGTAAAGTATATTCATTTTTGCTATTAAGTATAAAATCAAAATTTTAAGCAGAAAGTATTATGTCACAGTTTAGTTAGAATATTTTTCTTTCTTTTTTTTATTTATTTTCATTAGTTGGAGGCTAATTACTTTACAATATTGTAGTGGTTTTTGTCATACATTGACATGAATCAGCCATGGATTTACATGTATTCCCCATCCCGATCCCCCCTTCCCCCTCCCTCTCTACCCGATCCCTCTGGGTCTCCCCAGTGCACCAGGCCCGAGCACTTGTCTCATGCATCCAACCTGGGCAGTAAAGTATATTCAAATAAAAAGATTTAAACACTGGTTAGTCCTACCTATTCAAAAATATTTCAAATCAGATATATATATATCTCAGCCTTCTTTTCACATATTTAACAAATATATATGAAATTCAACAATTAAATATAACACCCCAAACCCTGATATTCTTCAGGTACATATGCTAAATGAATTACTTAAGGAACTCACTTGGTCTTTTATTCTTAATATATATGTCCTTTGTTCTATGACACATAATCACAAGCAATATCATCACAGCGGAATCGCAAAGAATGGAACAGCAGCTCTCTCCACTAAGGGCAGTGTCTGGTTTCAAAGATGAAGTGCAGTCCAGGGCTTCCACTTCCTTAGCAGCCTCAGTAGAGCACAGAGGGTGACCACATGGCTAAGAGAAGCAACAAGGGAACTGGCCGATTAACAGCAGACGGCGAAGGCAGTTTCCACAGGTGGTAGGCTGGCCTCTGCCATCTCTGTCTAGACTCTCACAGAACTGCTTGCTCCTGGAGGACAGAACTGTGCAGTCCTCAGAGTATGTTGAAACGGTTTGTTCTTGCTGTCAAGCTATTCATTAATAAAATGGTGTGACAGTTTAGAATCACAAACCATTTGAATGCCCTTGATAACATGACTGAGTTGTGTCCCTCCCAAATTCCTGCGCTGCAGCCCACTCTGACTGTTTGGAGATGGGGTCTGAAAGGAGGTATAAAGGTTAAGTGGGATCATACGGTGTGGTCCTAATCCTATGGAGCCGGTGCCCTTAAAAAGAAGAGAAGGAACACTGAGTTCTCTCTCTCTGCCATGTGAGAACACAGCAAGCTGGCCATCTGCTAGCCAGGGAGACAGCTCTCATCAGAAACCAAATTTACCAGCACCCTGGACTTGGATTTCCAGTCTCCAGAACTGGAAGAAAATAAATTCCTATTGTTTAAGCTCCCCAGGCTATAGTATTTTGTTAGAATAGCCAGGGCATACTTGTGTGTGTGTGTATGTATATATGTGTGTGTATATATATATATACATATATATATATGACACAATTTTGTCAATTTTTATATACTAGTATATATATATCTTCACTTTCACTTTTCACTTTCAGGCATTGCAGAAGGAAATGGCAACCCACTCCAGTGTTCTTGCCTGGAGAATCCCAGGGATGGCGGAGGCTGGTGGGCTGCTGTCTATGGGGTCACACAGAGTCGGACACGACTGAAGCGACTTAGCAGCAGCAGTAGCAGCAGTATATATTTCACATACATACACACATTTGTTTTGTTTGCCTGCTCAATATGTGTACTCTCATTAAGACAGTAAGTTATGGGAGCAAGGCCATGCCTGTCTCATTTATCTTTGAATAACGAAAGACCAGTACATACCCGGCATAAAGTAGAAATTGGCTAAATCTGCTGATTGAATGGATCATTCCAGTTCCTAGCCAAATATGAGCTAAAGCACAAGTGGTAATAATTCTAAAGACAAACCAGAATGTGACTTAGAGTCCTATAACCTTTTATATAAAGTAACATTATTGGTGAAAGTTAAAGAAAATCCAGTAATACTCAGTATAAAAAGCTGTATTTATGAGAAGGTGAGAAAATCAGTATTCTCCAATTGTTAAGAGCAAGGGTATGTACACTATCTGCATCCTGTAGGACTTCTGTTTTTCTCTAGTGGTTTTAGTGTTATACATCTCTGCTATTAGCTCTCTAGTTCTACTGTTACTGATTCATGGGAAATTAGGCTACAAACTAGACCAATAGAGTTGAGCTCCATGGTTCCATCTCTTTACAACATTTCACTTTGCTATGACAATGTTTTTCTATCATTCCGTGAGGGCTGATGGTATCTGAAGAGCAACACTGAAAACTAATGATTTCCACATTTTCAAAAACAATGACACAGTGTGAAGCCCTGGTAAGACACCATCACTGAGTACAGAGCTACAGGGACAGTGTAAACAATTTATTAATCTTTAAGTTCTATCTCATCAATTCATATACTTTCTCTTCTGATTCAGAGAATATCTCAGCTGGTGTCTATAGGGGAAACCAGACACAAAGCAATATATTTTGAGCTCTTCAAAATTCAGGAAGTAGTGAGAAGTGACTTAATGCACTCTGGGATAGCTGATTGCATTTTTGAATTTGGTACCACAAAGCTAGTCCCGGTACACTAGGCCATGCTGTGAGCGGAGGATGAGAGGAAAGGCCTAGGGCTGATCATAAGAGAGAGGGACCACCGGGATGGGGAATACATGTAAATCCATGGCTAATTCATTTCAATGTATGACAAAAACCACTGCAATGATGTAAAGTAATTAGCCTCCAACTAATAAAAATAAATGGAAAAAAAAAAAGAGAGAGGGGCCAACAGGCTTGCTGTGGTCTGGCTTTGCCTCTTTTTCTCAGAGGTATGCTAGGACCAAAAGCTTTTGAGCACCTCACCCGAATGGATTTTATGGCACTTTTCCTGTGGCTTCTTTATCCTAACATCAAGGTAAACAGTTTTAAAAGAAAAAAAAAAAGGTACATGGACCATAGTGGGGCCTTTGACTATAATGCTTATTTCTAGGGATGGAAGAAAAAGACATTAAGAAATTAGACTACAGAAAAAGCTTAGTACCTGCTGCCTGGACACATATCCCAGAAAACGCTGCATAAGTAAAAAGCTACGGAAGAGAAGGTCTTGAACTCTGTGGAGTGGTTTGATCTAGTGGCACTGACCTTTGGCTGTGTCCTCAGAGTGACTACTATAGGCCAGATAGCCTTACGTGCATCAACCATTTTTTATGGAATAAATATAAATGTCTTCTATATTTACCATCTGAGCTACCAGGGAAGTTCAAAATGAATCTGTGTGTGTGCTAAGTGGCTTCAGTCATTTCCGACTCTCTGAGACCCTATGGACTGTCGCCACCAGGCTCCTCTGTCCATGGGATTCTCTGGGCAAGAATACTGGAGTGGGTTGCCATGCCCTCCTCCAGGGGACCTTCCCAACCAAAGGATCAAACCCACATCTCCTGAGGCTCCTGCATTGCAGGTGGATCCTTTACCACTGAAAAATATCTTCTATAATAACTGAGCCACGGCGAAGCCCAAATAAAAAATGCCTTCTCTATGTATGTATGTGTTACTTTAAAAAGTGTAGGTACTTCAGCTATGTCTTTTCAAAAGATTGTATTAAACATCATTGAATTCAGGATAGCACTTTGTTTTTGTTACATACTTCCTCATATAAGAGATCCTAAACCTACTGCCACGATCTTATAATTATGCCACAAAATTCTGATATTAAAAATGTGGTCTTCATACAGTACCTGTAATTAAACATCTTTATGATGATGTCTTTTTTCTTCAAATTTTTCTCTAACAATGCCTGTCTCTCATAAGTACCACTTGTTCTCAGATAATCTGTATTTATTTTTCCTCATTTCCTGGTCTCTGAAAGAGATACCTTTTCTGCTAATGGCTCTCCTCTCAGCATCCTGCTCCTGTCACAGCCACCTCCACACTTTGAGACCTTGACATGTTTAAGATTCAGGACAGAGTCTATTTCCTGGTGAGGGAGGAACTGACAGAAGTCCAGGGCTTGAACCTCCAGATTTTCTTCTAGCCAAGTAACAAGGAAGAGAAGGGAATATGCTATAAAGTGCTCATGAAATGGAAGAAAAGGTTTTTTGGTTTTTTTTTTTCTTCTTTTTTTGTGGTTGACATCCTCTAAATGAGGCAGGAGGTAGATGTTCCCTACAGGGTAAAGTGACTGGAGATTCATTCCCTGTGGACCAAAAACCGAAGACGAGAGTAGCAGGACAATTAAGTGGGGAGGCTGGGCCCTGCCCAGACCACATATTTCTCATTCTTGAAGTCAGGAGACTTCCCCGACCACACATGCACAGAAAGGCTCCTTGGAGGCCAAAGGGGAGAGATGCCAAGGGATATTCTACCCATAGGCCTTTCCGTGGAATCCACCTTGGCTAAGAGATGTGTGCACAGACATGGGAGGATCCTGAGACACACCAAACATGGACTGTGAACCAGACAAATAAAAATGATTGGCCAAAAGAAACCAGGAAGAAACCCCCCGTAAAAGTAATTCAAACTGCCAAGAGGGCGTGACTCAGGCACTCTCCTTCTGAGTCTGCCCATGAGTCTAGTCACATGTAATGTACTCTTCTTTTCTCTTAATACTTTTCACTACTTTCCACCTCAGGAAACTCGTTTCTGCAAAGTTGAAGGGGCAGGGCCCTCATCACTGACCACTGGTTTAGCGGCTAGGATGCCGTACTTTCACTGTTGCGACCTGGCCCCAATCTCTGGCCGGGGAATTGAAGCCCCACTTTAAGCCACTGCAGGCCGAGGCCACCTGAGATCATAAACAGCACAACACATTGCAAGATCAGCACAACAAATGTTGATTTTACCTTTCGTGTTTTGTGTGGATTTCTCATTCTGGACGACTTCTTAATGTCCACTTCAGTGGTATTTACACATCCAGGCTAGAAATGGAAAACAGAGAGACAAAGAAATCTTTGGGTGTAAAGTTCCTGATGGGCACATTCACTCTCCAGGACCCGAGTAAACGCTGTGATGACACAAGTCCCCAGCAACCTGTCCAAATGGCCCCAGCCACTTCTCTGGGCAGTAATCCAGTGAGAAAGTGCACTGCCTTCTTTTACAACTTAAGTTTAAAAGTCTTCAGATACCATTCTAGAATAACTGCCAGAGAAACAGGAAAAAGAAATACAAGAGATCTGCATGTGAAAGTGAGTGGTTAGCTGCTAACCCAACAGATTTAGAGCAAGGGTATCCAGAGACCAAATAAGGTGATGCCCCCAGCTGATATCTGCATTCAGCTTCCCTCAGAGTCTACCCTCTCTGGATGAGATGACATTAACTAGACGGTTGTGTGCATCTCCTAAGTTAGAAAATCAATGGTATTCAGTTGAACCAGCTCAAATCCCAGAGCAATTTTCCTACAGGAATCTAACATCCAGTGACTTGGAATATTTGTTGTCTATAGACAGAATGTGCAGTAGAGTTTAATGGTCAAAATGTAGAAGATGAAGAAAGCAACTGATAAACAATAGACCATGCTTCTTTTCAGAATTCCTAATTTTTCTTTTTCCTTTTCCAGACAGGTGAGCCCCTTTCAAACAGGGTAGGTTGGAGGAAAAGTTTGGACAGTTTGCTCCTTGTTTTTTGAAAACCACAAGGATATCATTTTGCCACATTTATTTTTCTTTTGCAAAGAAACAAAGAGCTTTAAAGCTTCTTTCTTATCTGGAGAAGAGAAAAGGAGGGAGGAAGAAAGAAAAAAGGAAGAGGGAGGAGGAGAAGGAAAAGGAATAGGAAAGAGAGAGAGAGGATGGGTGAGAGAAAACACAAATCAGGAAACAGAAGAAAGGAGATTAAAAGATACTTGAGATCTTAAATGGAGAAAGGTCCTTAGACATCACTTATCCTTTAGACATGATTGGAAGTTAGCAGTTACATGGTTGTGTTTCCTTTACTTGTAACTTTTGATACAGGATGTACAGACCTCTGGTGCTAGTAAAAATTATTACATTGTATATTTCTGTTCAATTTCTCTATTTTCTCTCCACAGCTTGAAAGATCATCAGTTACCCTTGAAAGTGACTCCAGAGAAAATATGAAAGTGGAAAAAATGAGTTTGAGGAGCTGGGAGGACACGGAGGCAAGGAGCTGGGAGGACAGGGAGGCAAGGGCAAAAGGCAGCACTGAAGTGTCTAGAGAAAGAAGTTGTTCTCCACAAGCAGTGGTAAGCAATAGGGATTAGCTCTTTGTATAATGAGAACCTAGGACATTTTTCTTAAAGAACCTTCTCCTGACAGTACAACCATTGTGACAATACTCCACTACAATGTTGTAAGGGATAAGGAAGTAAATGAAGAAAGCACTTTTCTCTTGAATTGTTTTCTTTGTAGGTTGTATGTGAAATATATATACTATAATACACTGCCCTGTAAACATTAAGTAAACTATAAATTTGGTTTGTATATCTATTTAAGAATAGAAATAGCACAGCCAAAAATAAGCAAATAAATAAATAATTTCTAAGAAAAGAACTTCTCTGGTGGTCCAGTGGTTAACAATCCGCTTGCCAACACAGGAAACACGAGTTCAATCCCTGGTCCAGGAAGATCCCATATGCCATGGAGCAGCTAAGCCCGTGCGTCACAACTTCTGAGCCTGCACTCTGAGCCTGTGAGCTACAATTACTGAGCCAAAACAATGGAAGTCCATGTGCGTAGAACCCATGCTCTGCAACAAGAGTAGCCACTGTAATGAGAAGCCTGCACACCACAAGTAGAGAGAGGCCCCCACCTGATGCAGCTACAGAAAGCCCACACACAGCAACAAACGGCAGACTCAGCCAAAAGTAAACAGTAAATAAATAATTTTTTAAAAAAGAACAGAAGTAACTGGTTTAGCACCATGATCTGCTTAGAAGTGTCAGAGAAAGGAAGAGCACCCCCCTGGGTGAGACTTATTTACTAGCTGACCCAGTGATTCACTTAAACTTTATCAGCATCAGACTGATCAATATTTGATATTCTGATTTAATTTTCTGTGGCTGGTTCTAACCATAAGTGAATGTTAACAAGTCCCCTCTCCCCCACTGCCAGCCATTCCATATCCCCTCTCACTGGTGATTTTAATATGCAGCCAGGATTCATAGATGCTTGCTCCTTGAAAGAAAAGCTATGACAAACCTAGACAGCATATTGCACAGCAGGAACATCACTTTGCCTACAAAAGACCATCTTGTCAAAGCTATGGATTTTCTTGTAGTCATGTACGAACATGAGAGTTGGACCATAAAGAAGGCTGAGTGCCGAACAACTGATGCTTTCAAACTGTGGTGCTGGAGAAGACTCTTTTGAGAATCCCTTCGACAGCAAGGAGTTCAAACCAGTCAATCCTAAAGAAAATCAATCCTGAATATTCATCAGAAGGACTAATGCTGAAGCTCCAATACTTTGGCTACCTGATGGAGAACCAACTCATTAGAAAAAGCCCTGATGCTGGGAAAGACTGAAGGCAGGAGCAGACAGGAACAACAGAGGATGAGATGGTTGGATGGCATCACTGACTCAATGGACTTGAGTCTGAGCAAGCTCTGGGAGATTTTGAAGGACTGGGAAGCCTGGTGTGCTGCATGGGGTTGCAAAAAGTCAGACAAGACTGAGCGACTGAACAACAAAAATTCATAACCATTGATATAGAAGTGACAAAGATAATGTTTTAAAAATATTAAAGTAGTGTGTGTTCATTTCCTATTCAATTTCCATTTCCTTGCAGCTTTCTACCCCTAAGCTTATTAGAGAACGGTAGACACTGAAATTCTTTAAGCTCTTATTGCTATATCAAGAGTCAAGTATGACAAGACAGATCATAGAAGATTTTCTTCTATATATTAAGCAGTGGGATAAATAAGAATATGATGTACAGGAAAAGGAAGGCATGTCCCTCTGTAACTGACGGGGGAAAGAGAAATAAAGGTAAGATGCAGCATCCAACATGTGTCCTCATTTTCTTCCTCTGGAGAAGAAAGCCCAGGCACAATGAAAAGCATGATAGAAATTACCAGACAATTATGAGGGACCTATAATGTGTGGGTTGGATAGCTAGTCCTGCTTACCTAGAAGAATCAGTACATGCCATCACACCCAACGTGAATCTTTACAATTGGAGTTGGCAAGACAGACAAAACAGATAAGTGTTTCTCAGAGCCTGTAGGAAGTAGGCAAGAGATCCAGGTTGTGTTGCATGCCTCAGTAGTAATGGAGGCAGAAATTCTGAGACTAAAAGATGGATGGGAACCTGAGGTTGAGACAAGGCCAAAGTGTGCAGGGATTTTATGCTGGTAGCACAAATGTCTGGAATACAAACTCCAGTGAGCACCCAAAGATGACACGGTACTCCCATGATAGCAGGCCCAGGAATAAACTCGACTGACGTATCTAAAACAGAAATCAGAAAGAAGACAGAAGAAGTCCTGTGGATGGTTGACCCTTCCTCCACTGTATGAGATCATATAAAAACAAAGCATTTATACTCCAAACTCTTATCAAAACTACCTTGCATAGAAGCAGGGAAAGGTGGAAGAAAACTGAACGTGTGATCACTTACCCAAAATTTACCTAGCAGATGCTTTAAATGATTACATCATACAGAGCACACACATTGAAGACTGTCCTTCAAATGTTTCTGAGATAAATAGGCCAATTATATAAAAAAAAAACACCAGAAAATATATTTTCTATATACACACGAGGAGTCTGAACTAATAGAACTTGAAAGCTCCTTCTGTTATAAGCTAGAATTCTAAATCAATCTTACTTCTTACCAAGTCATACCAAATGGGTATTGATAAATGGCCCTCGAAATTGTGTCAACTACTGAAGGCATGAAGTAGAAAGATATTTTCTCCTTATATAAAAATGTATCTGACTGCCCTCTCAAAGAGAATTTTCTTTTTCAAAGTTAAAAGATTTTGGTCTTTCAAATTTAGTTAACGAGCCATTAGCAGACATCTAAAATTCTACTTGAACCAATTCTTAACACCATTGATCAGCAAATTAATAAGAAGTCATTGATCCTAAAAGTAAATATTATTAGAAGACTGAACTGTGAGGTAATGTCCCATAACTCAGCTCCCATTCCAGGCTAATGAAATATGCTAGTTCAAAATTTTTTGCTAATGGCACAATGGTTAAAATAATAAACTGAACCTGGGATGCATGTCTCAGTGGACTTTCAGCTTCCTTTCATTTCTAAACAGCCCCTTAGGAAGCTAATGCATAGACCAGTCTCTGGTATCTAAGTTTAAATAGGGGATTCTTGAGGACTGAAAAAACCTCAGTGCTCAAAGTCATCTAGTATATTTCTGAATAATTAATGTCATTGCAAAATAATAACTTTCAGAAATCAGGCACCAAAGTGATGAAATATGGCAATATTTCTTTGGAATTTTTTAAATAATAATTTTAAGAAAATTTATTTTTGTATCTAATTGTCAAATCTAGTGATAAATGGTAAAGTATAAAAATGAAGGTATGGCCATACCTCAATATTCTGTTAATATACTAAGGATGCTAGACAGATGAATCATCATAGTGTGGGAGCATAAAGACTAGACAGTAGATGGCAGAGGGCATTACATGCCAAGAGGACATTCCAGACATCCATTCTTATGTGAATACTGCTGTTCCTCACCAATGTGGCAGATAAAGATTTTTTAAAACTTTGTTTTTAAGTAATTTTGATGTGCCCTTTGGTTATCTTAAAAAGGCAGTTATCCTTTTGAAGCATATATAATATGTACCAATAGCAGGCAACAGATTCACTTGAAATGTTGTGCATAAATTGGGTTTCTGCACTACAAAACGTATCTTCCCAATAAGATATAAATGACAGTACTATTACCAAGTAGGCACTCAGTAAAAATGGTCAAATATGTACTACTCTACAG